GAGAAAAGCCATGAGCTCAATACAAAGTCTGAGGAATTGGGAAATCTGTGCCGCTCTCAATACGCGAACTTTCAGCAAAGCCTCACAGCAGAGAGAGCTGCATTCAACGAAACCAACAGCAACAGATGGAGCTTTCCCTGAAGCCAGGTGCATTTTTCTAACACTATGTTCCTCGGTGGATACAGCAGAGCCCAAGAAGTTAGCACCCTCTCCTGGCAGCTGGGCAAGACGACACCACTAAGTGGTTTAAAGCACAAAACGTTGTTTCTTTAGGCTGGCTGACCGCACAGACCCGCTACCAGGGGATGCTGTGGAAGCTCCAAGAGTATTTTCTTGGGAGCAGTGGGTCTGAGTGCAGCAGGTTCCTGCTGCACATAAAGCCAGCGGAGATGGCCCCAGGCAGTCAGTGACAGCACCGCTTGGGCAGCTCCGAGCCCCGGCCCCTTCGGCCCATCCAGCACTGTCCCCCTGCTTTGGGCCATGTCGCAGGTCACAGCCCGGGATCGAATCAGCTCAGGAGGTACTGATAAAGAACAGACAAAATGCATTAGGAGTATGCAAGAACGCACAGCAAATACGTGTGTTCAGATGATGCTGAAAACTAACTTGGTTTTAATATATGTTTACACACACACATGTCAGTTGCAGAAGGGAAGGAGAAAAGAGCATTCAACAATTCTAGAGAAAGTGTATTTTGACTTAGGGGGGTGGTGGCAACACTGACATCCAGTGCAACTCCAGGTTTTTGGTAAGCTCTTTTTCCTGCCAGATTGTAGGCAAAACAGTCACTGTGATCTCAAAATTGTTTAATTTTTAAAATGCAAACAAATTGAACATTAGAACACACTTAATTGGAGGAAGTAGCTTACATTTTCCAGTGTGTCTTGCTCATAGTAAGAACAAAACTTTCAGAATTAATATAAGCATACAAATATAAAAAACTCCTCTCTCCCATCAGCAAGCGCAGTTCTTTGCTAACACAGGCTGTGCCATCATGGATTACATTTTCCTAACCTGATCACGTACTCTCCTACAACGTGGGTTAGGTATTTCTAACCCACCACTCATAATGGGAGGCAGGTCACAGTCTCACTACTCCAATATTTAGAAACAATCAAACAAAAACCTTAAGCTTCCATCTAAAATTTATTTATACTAATTAATTAATTTATTTATACATGCTCATTTGATCTTGTGCCAATATTATTCTTCACCTTATTTTTTCCACTCTGTTTTTTTCGAGAGTACAAAAGTAGTTCCCTCTTAGATCTCCTGATGGTAGATTATAAAAATATGTCATTCTTCAAGTCAAGCAACTAAGCACTGCACAGATTCCAGCTGGAGGGACCACCAGTTGCTAGCACAGAGACATCAGTGCCCGCACGCTCTCCACAGAAAATCTCTCACCTGATGTATCCTGGAATCACACTTAACATTTTTAGGGCTTCATTACGAGGACAGGCTGTCACTATCCACTGGTAGGCACTGAAGTTCTCCTCCTCTGCCTTTTTCAAACCACTGCCTTCTAATGAACAGCAGAAATCCTGAGTGTGTGACCTTGCACTGTTGAATTTCTACTAACAGCAAGGTCTAGGTGATGTGGCGCTGCTGTAAATATGCTCCCCTCTCTGCTTGTCAATTCCATGTTACCATTAACTTTCCAAAATTTCATGCCAAGCTCATTACAGAGAACATCAAAATTGGCCTCCAGACAAATTCCAAGGGAACTCTGCTAGGAAACGCCTGGCGGTTCTCCTCCCGAAGACACAGACATCTATTATCAGGTACTTTCATGACCCCAAGTCCCCAGGCTAGCTCCCCGTGGTGTGCTGGGGTGCAGAGCGTGGCCAGCCGAGCTCTCCAGGCGCAGCTCCTCTGCCCCGCTGCCCACGAGAGGGAACCCAGTGCAGGCAACAAGGACTGGGTGACGTGGCTGGGCTCTGCCCACACCTGCTCACCAACACACTCTCCACAACAATGTTACTTGCACCAGCAAAAGTGTATCATGTTTTACACATGTAAGGAAAAACGACAATAAAAATGTGGATTTTTTTTTTTAACTTAATTTTATTTTTACTGACAATGGCTACAGCAATCAGACCTCTTGTTTGACACAGCTGAGTTGGGAAAGAGCACAGTGCAGGGGTAACAAAGTCATTCAAAGCGTGTCTCCTGCCGATTAACAAAACATAGCTGCAATATCAACTCAGTTGGCCACTACTGTAAAGCTGGCATTACGATTAGTTTGTATAACGTCCAAGCTATGATAGCAAGTTTCTGTAACAGAGATCATGTAAGGTAAGCCACAGCAGAGGAGCAGACAGATCGCTCCTCACGCTACGGCGAAATACCATTGCTGATTCCATACTGCTCCCTCAACGTGGGCTGTATGGACACCACCACTCTGAGTAAGTTTGCTCTTGCTACAGCCTTAGGACACTAAAGAAAAACAAAGCGACATAGGCCTGTCCCCTGCAGAAATGAGATGCCTGAATGTTTATTTTTAACAAAAAGCTTACAATTACATCCCAGCATATGGAAGAGCCTCTGCAAAGTCTACGTTTACTGTGCATCTTTACTACTAATGCAACTGCCATATTTTAATAGATTCTTTAATGTTTTGCACTTCTGCAAAATGCTTTGTGATCCTTCTGTGAACAGAACAGTTTGTTTTCCTGCAAAAAAAAAGCACCACAGAGTGCTTTCCAAGCAATGTTGCACACAAGTCACTACCATCATAAAAGCCCCACAGCCGGTCTTTGAAAGACTATTAAATGGTAACTTTCATATAACGAGTTGGGTAAGGCTGGCAGCCTGGAAGGTGTTTCAACTGTTGGAAGCAACCCAAGAGGTATGGAAATCAGCTCCATACAGCTCACCTTCGCTGACGACCCAGTATAAGAAGCCAGACTTCACATTCATATCTCACCCAATGGGACAGTGCACTCCCTGATTTTACCAACAAACATCTGATTAAAGATATCCAAGGGCAAAGACAAGAGCTTATCAAGACTTCTTCCTATCCATTAAGCCCATGCTCAACAATTATCCTAATCAGTTTTCTAACTACTACAGTCAAGTGTTTGGCAGAGCTATTATTTTCTCCTTGGCTTCCTTGAGAGCCACCATTAAAACGTTCCTTGAGAGCACATTTGAATTCTGCTGTTCAAGAACTATGCCACCAACTAAAGCTAGCTCCTGCATAGCAGCTGTCCCGTAGCAATCACTAAAAGAAGAAAGAGACTGGCCAGTTTGAGCTTTATGAGAAAAATCAAGCTTATCTTCTGGTGCAGCAAAGACTAGGAGCCCCATAACTTTCAGCACTTGGGGATGGCATTACCCTCTGCTATGGACAGAGAGGAAGACAAGCAACAATAATAAAAAGGTGAAATTCCTCATTTCTCATTACTCTAAGAAACATGATTCCAGTTAGCCTTCCGGATTTGAGAGAATGAACTCATTCAAAGGAACCCTAAACATTCTGTGTACCAAAAAACCAATGTAGGTGATGGTAAGAAAACACACACTCCCTTACTCACATGTTTAAAAGACCCATGGGGGGCTGCAGTTGCTCCTGTGTCTTCTAGATACTCATCCCAATTGAATTCCATTTCTTCCACACTGGAACCAGCATCTGGAAGAGAAGCCAAACACCTTCCATTTAGCAACCTGTTGGCTTAAGGTTTAGGCTACTAAGAACTACAGCAAAATCTGCTTCCAATTCCAAATGATTGGCTACACAAGTCTGCCACAAACTTCAGTTATGCATTTCAACACAGACAACGCTACTTAGCCTTTCTTTGCATGTGAAGGGCACTTCAGGTTGGACTCGGTCTGAAAAATAGTGAGATCCTGAGGATATTGTATAAGCACAAATTGTTTACAATTTGTGAGAGGAACATAGGCAGAAGAGTTCTGCATTCGTATCAACAAATAGAAGAGACTCAAAACTCTAGGCACCCTGGACCGTCTGTGTACTAAATTAAAAACCACGCAGGAAACAGCAATACCGATAGTAAGAGGTTTGAAGAGAAAGGCTAAAAACATTTGAAACCTGACTCCACTCTTTTTTAACTTAGCGTTTATTTAGATGTTATAAAACACCAAAAGCACAGAGAAGGATTCAGGGTAGCTCTAAGAAAAACAGCTCGAGACACAACTGAAATCAAGAACACTCAAATTAGTCACGTAAAAAATCCCAGCTCATAAGGTGTAACAGCTTCTTTAGACCAAGAAAACCTCATTTCTGGATGCATTTAAAACAAAAATGCACTAAAAGCACTCAAGCCACAGTTCAAAACTCACTCAGGCTGTTAGGAAAGCAATTAGCTGTAGTGAGCCCCACAACAAATTAGCCAGATTTTCTATGACTATTGTCAAGCCTGTCCCCCACCCCCAGTCTCCCCTTCAGTTCTTGGCTCACTTCCCTGCTCCCCTCCTATTCCGTCTCCTCCAACGTGTAACCCGCTCTGCTGAAAGGACCACAACCGACACAGGTTGGATTTCAGGTCCCCTGTTTAGTTCAGCACGCAGCCACGTTATATTTTTCCCACAGGCAGAGCCGGGATGCCCAGGGAGGGTCCCACGCATGTAAGCAGCGTTTTGAACCTCAGCACACAAACTACAACTTCAGGTTCAGC